AACTAGTCACTTGTACTGTTGTAAAAATCTTACTAACTAGTCACTTGTACTGTTGTAAAAATCTTACTAACTAGTCACTTGTACTGTTGTAAAAATCTTACTAACTAGTCACTTGTACTGTTGTAAAAATCTTACTAACTCATTCCTGTTGTTCAGTTACTGCTGTAGGTGCCAGTCCTTCAACCAAACTATTTATGTTAACTTAAAAGCCACCTTCCTTCCCACCTACCCCACCACCAAAAAAAAAAAGAATAAATACACATATCTGCTTCATTTTCCATTAGCATTAATATAAATTACAAACACCCATTACAAGGTAACACATAAAAAACAAAATAATGAAATGTTCTGTAGATCTAATTTTGTTTCATATTTCACTTTCAGTCTTAGTATAAAAGCCAAAGCATGATAAAACTTAAGTTAAAGCTATGCCTTTAACAAGGTTACTGAGTTCAATCAAATGTTGATAAGAAAATAAGGTGGAGTTTAGTGGAATGTTTCACGACAACAAGATAATCGATAAACGCACGCTAAGTTCTGATACAAATACAGTACCTGCCCAAAACAGGTTTAGTAAGACTTGGGTATAAACATTTTTTAACTTTTAGTTATACAACTATAAGTATAAGACAAAATAAGTTAATAATGACGTACAAATTAAATAGTAATAATTTGTAGTATTTCTCTATAGTCTACAATAAATTACATTACGTAGATAAAATAGGTAAAAAAAAGTCATATGGACGATGGCCAAAAACTAAACATTTCTGTCACGCTAAATTTAACCTAATAGTAATACTAAGACTAATACAAGTTACAACTTACAATACTCATATCGTGCTTGACGTGATGAGTAGTGTATAGATTAATCATGAAATGGTCATCAAAATTTAAATACATATAAAATAAACTGTAAAGCAGAATGATATAAAATACGAAAGAAAAAAAATTAACTTACAAATCAACTCTTCAAAGGAGAAATACGTGAGAACCGCATAGGACGAAAAAATAATTCATATACACGAAATACTTTTCGCACACATACTACAACAAGTTACCAGAACCCCACCACGTGATAATCTGCTCAGATGCTCCTCGTGCTTCGCTTCATAACACTGTTACAAACCGAAGCGACGTCTATGTTTAGATTATGGAACCTAAATGTTAATCTCATGGAAATTTAATTAAACTAAAATATATATAATTCCATAAAGGCCTATTCAACATAAAATAAAAAAGATAAGTTCGTGGAAAAGCATATCATTAAAGTAATTTCCATTTTTCGGAGATTACCTCAATTCCAAAAGTAAAATTCAAAGCTGGATCGAAAATTCCGCTAATGAATTTTTTATCCGTAGTTAACAAATAAGACTACAGATGTCTCACACACTTATTGATAAATTTAATTTGTATTCGTTCACAAATTTCTAAATTTGACTAAAAACTATCTGAAGTTTCACTATTTATTGGTATAAAAAATATTCAGGACCACCACTAGTTTTATGTTTGTTAAGCTAGTCGTTCACTTTTACAAGAATCTCACTATCTCTATCACATCTTGCTTCTTACTTTGAACTCTAAACGAATAACGTAATGACTTTCTTTGAATACTGGATATATAGAAAGAAAAAAAAAACTTTTAAAAAACTGACGAGATCACAGACATAATACTATAATTATGTTGACTGGTTAGCGTGCTCGGACTGTTGATGTTACGCGCCGTTACCACAAAAACTCAATCAACAGTTGTTAAGACGAGAGTACAACAATATTTTAATTTTTCACTTGATATATGCATCAATGAAATAAATGTTATCCACGCTCTATTAATATTATTGATAGGGCTCAATTAGGCCTAGTGGTTGCTATATTCGTGCTCTGAATCTAAGAGTTTATGGTTCGTGATCTATTTATTGTTCGAACAAATGTTTTGCACTTTGGGTGAGCTATAAGAGTAGCCCAAAATTTGGCGGTGGGTGTTGTTGGCTTACCCTTAATGTTTTAAGATAAAGAATCATGGCTAAAATATACATTTGAATGGATGAACAAAAATGTAAAACTTATATCACTTTTAAAGGGTTTCTCCCACACACAATATTGTTACGACAGTGGGGTCACGTGACGAGTATTCTAGAAGATTCGCTAGCGTATTACGACAGCGGGGGTCAAGTGACGCTGGTAGCACGTGTTGAGAGTCTTAGAAGTTTCTAGAACAGGCAGTATTATCGTATATAAGTGCGCTGAACAGTGAGAGAGACAGACGGAGTCGAAGCAGTAGTGGAGACAGACGAAGCAGGGACGAAGCAGGCAGAGAGAAAGAAAGACAGCGATTACAGTCGGCGGGAACCGAGGATAGCAGACACAGAGATCGGAACTATAGTTTGCGGGGACGGACAATTAAGTCTAAGCGCGATAGAAAGTGAGTGAATTGTTGTGAACTATAGTGTGTGTAACTGTGAAAATTAAGTACATTACAAAGTTGTATTGAGGAAGAATAAACAAGTTTTATAAAGAAAGAATGGACTTGTATCTTAGAAGAATTAAAAAACAAACATACAGAGACGTAACAATACCATATGACAGGGCCTGGCATGGCCAGGTGGTTAGGGCGCTCGACTCGCAATCTGAGGGTCGCGGGTTCGAATCCCCGTCACACCAAACATGCTCGCCCTTTCAGCCGTGGGGGCATTATTATGTGACGGTCAATCCCACTATTCGTTGGTAAAAGAGTAGCCCAAGAGTTGGCGGCGGGAGGTGATGACTAGCTGCCTTCCCTCTAGTCTTACACTGCTAAATTAGGGACGGCTAGCGCAGATAGCCCTCGTGTAGCTTTGCGCGAAATTCAAAAACAAACAATATGACAGCTTCTGTGAACCTCCTAGGTCACAAAGACCTAAATTCCTATCAGGAGGAGAGAGAAAGAGCTTCTGTGAAGGGCGTGATACTTGTGACTTGTATACAGTTAACCATCAATGTGCATTACTTTACATTCAAATCATTGTAAAAATACAACAAGGAAATAGAAATAAATTCATTTTATCTAGCGACGTAACTAGTTTTTATTTCATTGTTGTATTTTTACAGTAATTTTATTTTACTGCATTTATTTCTCAGCATCATATGTATATCCCAGTTCTTCTGAAAACATTTTTTAATTTGTATGGCGTCCATCTTGGAAATGTGAACAAAGCGTTCAAAATTTACAGTCGGCGTTGAACCAACTGTGACGTCACTGCAGTTCCAACGCTTGATTAATATTTTGAATTTTGGAATGCGCCGAAAGTCTCTTTCAATCTACATTGTAACAATTATTCTCAGGGTTTAAATACCAATTTCCAGGACTGTAGTTTATTTTAAAAGAAATAGTGATTAAAGTTAAAACGTACGTCTTTAACTAAAACTCATCGAACTTATAACGCTAAAACTGGGCTTTGTACCTGCGGTGATCACAGCAGATCGCCCACTGTGTAGCCTTGCGTTTAACTACAAACAAAGAAATATTTGTTACATTTCGGTCGTCTGCCCATCGTCAGGCTTAGCTACTAGAAACACACAATATAAAGAATGTTTATAATTAATAGGCTTAATAAAAGGGATTTTAATGGAAGCTGTAATTACTTACAAAAGAATCGTTAGTTTATTTAGTGTGGTGTCAGACAATTCAAATTTAAATATAAGTTTGTGTTCTAAGCTTTCATGATCAGATTGTTGTCGGGGTATGTTGTAAAACAAAGACGCTCGTGTCGTAAATTCCTTTATTGTCTAG